GAGAAGGAATAAGGTTTGGGGTTTTATGTCCCCTCCAAAAGAGTTGTTCAATAAAAACTTTTCAAAATAAATTTCTCCTCTAAAATTTGGACAACCTTTTTTTTCCATCTCTCATAAAAAGGACACTTACTGCCACAAGTCATAGACTTAATTTTCTACCACATGATGTATAACATAATTTTGAGAATAATGATCTATTTCTCCAAAGAAGTACCTTATGGACTTCCACTTTTAGGGAGTAGAACATTGAATGGATTCCTTGAGATAGAAAATCAAGTAAGTGACTTGCTGAAGAAGGGTTGGGATCAAGGAGAACCTCAATCCTTGTGTTATATCTAGACGAGATCTCCCATTTTTAATAAATGCCTAGATTAGATCTCTCACTTTTAATAAATTGTTTTCTTTTACAGGGAAGATTTGGATCTGAGGTCAGATCCTTCTTAAGAGGGAAGGTCTGATGGAGGACCATTTGGGTCATAACATATTGGGTCTCACCACACTAGACCTCAACACACACTACAACATAAAAGACATCTAATAACGGGTTTGTATGCTCTATAATAGCGGTTAAAAACACTATTAAATGAGGCGCTAATAAAAGAATGACGTTTAGATAGCGGTTAACTAACTGCTATCATAAATAAGATATAATAGTAGTTAACGTGAAACCGTTATGCAAAGTTGTATTTATAATAACGGTTAAAATGATGAACCGTTCTTAAAATTGACACATATAATAGTGGTTAAAATGACAACTGTTATCTAAAATATAATTTTAATAGCAGTTAGTTCTAGAACCGCTCTCTTTTAGTATGTTTAGATAGCGGTTCGGGAACCACTATCTAAAGTCCCAATTAAAAAAAATTATTTAAATTTTTAAATCCAAAATTTATTCCTAATAATTTATACTTGATAGACCACAATTTCAGGGTATATATCAAATTAATCCAAAAAAATCCAGTCAGCATACAATATATATTCACATAATCATAGAAAAACAATTCAAATTTTGACAAATTAAAACTAAAATTTGCATGAAACAAAATTGGTACATATACATCAAATAATTGAAATGATTACAAAAATCCCTAAGAGTCTATGGTGTTGATTTATCCTTAAAAAATGTATGATAGAAATATGCACATCATTCCTTTTGTAGCTGCTCAATTCAAAGGTCCGAAAAGGTAACAAAGCGAGATTCTGGAAAATACTGCAAACATAAATAGAAAAGAATCACAAAATTTAAATTCCAAATTAGATAAATAATGACAATACATTATTCTTTCATATAAACATAATCATAATGCAAAAATGGTTCTTACGTTAACTGGAATAGTAGTTTGTCCATGCTGTAGTGCATCGCCAATGAACAAGACTACGTAATATACACAGTTATCTGAGTTCATTATATTGTATATTAGTAAAATTTCGGCAGTATTTCGCATCAGTCTCTTAGTCCACAACTTGAATTTGGTAAAATTAACCTCATTCAACCATGTACTAAGAGACAATAACACGAATAGCAAATCAAAAGTTTACCAACTATAACAAATAATAGTTTAATCATGCACTAAGAGACAATAACACGAATAGCAAATCAAAATTTTACCAACTGTAACAAATAACAGTTTAATCAACTACCTAGATAATTATTGGCCAAGAAATTTTTTTTTTCCCAAATTGGGACAATTTGAGTTTTAAAATAATGATCCTAAATCATTATTTGGAGACTCAAATGAGAAACTAAAGATTCACTCAAGTTCATATATAATAATACCATTTAACAATCATCTAAAATTACTAAAACTATTAGCAAAAACATCATACATAATCTCTAATACAAAATATTTCAAGGTCACACTAAACCATGTATATATCCTAACCAGCCTATATTCTATTTCAAAACACAATTTTAGGATCATAATATAGGCAAAAATAAACAATTCAGACCAAACTAAGATATTAATCAATCCAAATACTAATTTTAAATTGTAATTTCTAATTCACACTCACCCTAAAATTTAACTAAATGTATCAGAATCAAAATAGTGGTGCAAATTGTATCCAATATCACATTAATTCAAATAATTATACTATAATAAATCAAATAAAAGCCTAAAAAATATATAATGCACTAACCTATTGTAAACCTCCCAATAAGCGCGTCCTACAACAACAATGACAAATAAAAACTGGAACGCGACACAAATATGCTTCAATGGAGTTGTAATACCCAACTTAGTAGTGAGAGCAAGAGAATAAGAGAGATTGAAGACACAGAAGGAAATGGAGAGAACGCAGAGCAAGTGGGAGAGCACAAAGTGAGAGAGAAGGAGAGAACGTACCTTTAGTTTAATGGAAGACGCAGAGAGCGAGAAGGAGAGCGTAGGGAGCAGGAAAAAACGCAAAAATAGTGAGCGCGAGGTTGAAGAAAGGGGATTAGGACTTTTAAAAACTTGACTTTAGATAGCAGTTCGTCAAATAACCGTTATCTAAACTACACTTATTATAGCGGTTCCACGAAGTAACCCCTATCTAAAATTATGATAACGGTTTCACGTGTCAATCGCTCTTCAAAGGTATGACATTAGATAGCAGTTATCACACAACCGCTATTATAAATTACTTTAGAAAGCAGTTCTTTCTGAACCGCTATTAAAACATATTTTAGAGAGCGTTTTACTCTTAACCGCTATCTAATATGTATTTTTAAAAGCGATTTTTGTTAACCGCTATCTAAAGTGTCGTCACGAAAGCCACTTTCTATTGTAGTGGCACTAAGCTTTAAATATGGTCCAAACTTAAAAGGGTTTCACTTAAGGTTCAAGTCTTGGCTGCAACAAAAAGGGAATACATCATTTTAGCTTCTCAAATTCGTCCAAAGCACTCCAAACACTCAAGGAAATCCAAGGTTCAACTCTTGGTTGCAACATTTTAAAGTTTTTTGTATATAAACTCATAAATGTAATTAAAAGTGGTCTAGATGGGACTTAAAGCTAGGAACTTCAATCATTACTTGTATAAGACAAAATTAGTCCCATATTTCTTAGGTGAGTGAGTAAATGAGAGGGGAACAACTATATATATAACCCCTTGTGTAGCTTTTTGGATCACATTTGAGTGAAGTCAAAACTTGTATGTGGAACTTGCATATTTTGCTTATACCCCAAATTAACTTATCTTCAAGTGTCTTTGGAGATTTCTTTCTCGTATTCTCCTAACAAAGAATCTTCCTTGGAAGAGAAAGTGTTAAGCTTCTCTAAAAACTTGGAAAAAAATTGTGGTTCACCTTGAGTGCTCAAAGTGTAAAGAGTTCACCATCATCCATGATGGAAAGAAGAAGCATATTTTTATCAGTTCTTCTATAACTATCGTCGTATATCATATACAACAATAGTTATAAAAGAATTGTTATTAAAAAATTAAACAAATGACGATTGTACGATGGTATTTTGCACATATGACAATGATTATAAATATAACTTTCGTTATAGAAAGATGTTTTGCATATACAATGACGGTTATAACAGTACTATCATTAAAAAGTAAAAAAAAAATTACCATTACATTTTTTTAATGACAATTCACAAATAAATATGGTTAAAGGACGTCGTCTTTTATCTTTTCACTATTGATATGTTGGTGAAATGTTTTTGTCAAAATCGATTAACAACATTATCATATTATGTAAAATAAAAAAATAGGATAAAATAAAAAATGAGGATAAAAATAATCAACATGAAGTTGATTTAGTTATTAATTAAAAAATCAATAAAATGAATAAATTGTATACAAGATTGGGAAATAAGAAAGCATGGGAAAATTAGATACATAAAAAATTTACATATTATAAACAAAAATTATTGAATATATTATAAGAGATATACAAGAAATTTGTATATACTAAATTGGCAAATGAATTTTCTTACAATAGAGGAAAGTCTTATTTTTCAATTGAAAAAGTGGAACGTTTAAAGAAGACTCAGTAATTTTCTTATTATTGACAACACTTTCTTATTAGGATGTTAACTTATTAGCTCTATTCCATTGCTTATTTCTGCACTGAACAACTTGATTAATAGTAAATCAACAATATCAATAAAATATTAGCAATTAATTCAAAGACTAGTAATGAAGGATTTAAAATAATTGATGTGTCCCATTGGTGCAAAATTCACCTGTTGAGGTTGTAACAATAAATTTTACGATTATTCATGAATATTTTACTCAGGATTTGAACAGTAGAAAATTCTTCTTCAAACCTTGGCTACACTTCTACATGAACGTTTCTACTATATAAATTGCAAATCTTTTTTAGTTGCAATATCATTTGAAAGAAGATGCCCTTCAAGTAGTGTATCCTCCACCATCACCAAAGATATTAATTTCCTTAGTTCCACAACTGTGGAGCATTATTCTGATCAAAGTCTTCATTTATATTCGTAAGAGGAGGATACCCTCATTTAGTATCAAAGCATCTTAAACAAATCCTCAGAAGGTTCATTAGCGTTCATGTCTTTATTAATTTTATCTTTCTCTTTTCCTTCGAGTTTCAAATGAATAACATCAATCAAAGTTTCAATTACAACATTTGACTAAAAAAAATTCAATAAAGAAACAAAAATTTATGAGAAAAGATAGATTTCTCAAAGCAAAATCTTACACTAAAGGGTAGACAGATAGATTCAAACCCTTGATGTCTTTTAAAACTACTTTTGAAAACATTAATCATAAAATAACAATGATAAAGATTTAAAATATACAAAATTAACAATTTAGGTTCTATGTAACCAAACCTACCTGAATGATTAAATAAATATTTCTGTTTGGCAAGAAAAATATGTTGCATGCAAATATGATGAACATAACAGGTTTAAAGTATAAAATAATATTTGGGAACATCTGCTTTCATAGCTCAGTTGGTTAGAGCACCCGTTTAGTAAGCGGGAGGTCTTGAGTTCAACTCTCAATGAAAGCAAGGTTTTTTGCCTTCTGTTTGATCAAATTTCAGTAAATCTGCTATATTTGTGTGAAGGGCAATATTCCAGCAATAAGGACCTTAGTTTAAGGTTTAAAATACATGAAATTGATGAGATGGAGCAAGAATGATGGTCATTCCATTTCCAAGTGTTGGATGTGATGAAATCTGGGGGCAGATTCATTCCAGCCAAAGCAGTTGAAGAGGATGCATCTTTGGAAGGCCCTAAGAATGTAAGAGATGCCTGCATAACAGTGGCAGCAGCAACATGAATGCAAGAAAGGGTCATCATAGGGACTGTGGTGCTCTTGTTGACGATTACTACCATGACGGTGATGCTCCATTTCTTAGCTTTTGGACAAAATCAAAACCAAGTGCACGCACGAATCAGTGTATTCAGATATTGAATCATAACTAGAAAGAAGCACAAAGAAATAAGACCTTCATTCTGGCTTACCTTGCCTTCATCAAGAAAATATTATATGTGAAGGAATGAGAATGAGAGTGAATGGGTGGATAGATGGATAGATAAAGAGAAAGTTGGAGGAAGGGGACATTCATATCCGTCTAGAAAGAAGCTGTCCTTCCGACAGAGGCATCAATGATTTCAACACTCAACTCTGGACAGCACTACTTATCAGATAGATGCCTCTACAATCAATCGTTACTTTATATTGAAGTTGCTCCACAACAACTTTTCTTTTTTCTTTTTTTCTTTTTTTTCATTAAATTGAATACTTTCCGTTCATGACCAACCAGTAAAATCATGTAAACGGATAAATAAAATAGGGATAATGCCATGAAGTATCTCATAATAAATGATGAATTTTACTGAATGTTTATAAAATGTTAAAAGAATATTTACTTGGAAAAGCTTTATTTTTAATGGTACCTCTTGTTTCAATAATCAAGGGCTTAAATTTTGGAAACATTCCTTAGATACATGTTTGGTCTACTCTACATATTTTACAACCCCTCAAATTATATTTTATTTAATGACGTTATTTCAAAAACATCTTTACAATCAATTTTAGGAACCATCTTTAATAAATATAAGAATAATTTTAAAAATTGATTAAATAAAATTAAAATAAAGAACTACATCTCATTGGTTTTTCCTGTCTCCCAATATCCTGGAGGATTAAATATGTTTCAGCCTTTTCTTATTCAGAAAAGGTTTTGCGAGTGAAAAGTTCATTAATATCATTTAATTCCATCAGGGAATCGTGTCACAAATTATAAATTTGATTATAAACCAATAATAACTAGATATCTAAAAGAATAATTTCACAATATTTCTTGGACATTAGTAAAGGAATAACACAATTGGTGCAAGTTAAATCTAAAATATATTTAAGACTTGGTAGTCTCAGTCAGTCTCAACAATTTTCCTTGAAGATCCTCAGGCAGTAATTTGAAAACTCGTTTTGGCTACTGATTGTACTATGAGAAGGCCGTAAGAAACAGCGATGTAAATTTGAAGGCACAGAGATGGGTACATACGGATGATGGTCATTTGAAACCAGAGGGGAATGATTTTATCACACCATCTGTTATGAGAAACTATTCATTCTAATTTATAATTTCTAATGCAATTAAACCAATTTGATCACTATTGATGAGATTGCCACTGCCTCCCTTGTTTCCCCATCACAACAGACACCTGCAGCACTCAACCATATGTGTATATGGACATCTACAAACATCTTTGCGACAAAGATGCCATGTGAAACACTACTATACAAGTTTGACATTATTCTCGCTTATCTTCCTCAAGATCTTCTCCAAAGGTAAGATCAGTCTTCCGATCAAGCTTGGCTGCCACATCCCCAGTTATCTTTGCTACACTGCTTGTCAGAGAGATACCCTCCTCATCAAAGTCATCTCCCGTTTCCTCCAAGTATGCATATCTAGAATCAAAGATATAAATGCGATCAGTCATCAAGGCATGGAGAAGCAGTGTGCAAGAATGAGCGAGAGAAAAGACAGGTTTATTATAAGATTATTGATTTCTTTAATGAGCAAAATGTATAATATTCATAATTACTAAACTACAATTGTTATGTGAGCTAATATAGAAATTACAAAAATATAGTAAGGTAGTGACTACAAGACTAGAATTATATAGACCCAACAGACATTAACAGGGTTAATAATTAAAGGCATTATCATAGAAGAAAAAACTTAACTTCAAATAGTGGTTTATAAAGCGAATACAAAAAATAATCCATATAGGAGAGCAGGTTAGCCTTCGCGTATGTACATATATATATATATATATATATATATATATATATATATATATATATATATATATATATATATATATATATATATATACACATACGAACAAGCGCACAAACCAAGTAGCAACTGCAAGACTACGATTATCCAGGCCACGTATTGATTAACATAGGTAAAAACATTACTTCATGCAGTGGATTAAAAAAATATATTGAAAATAACACATTGAAACCACTTAGTCCTCAGAATGTTCTACTTATAAGAAGAATCTGAACACCAATAAAATTCTAAAATTTTACACAATTTTCCCCTTGCTTAATATATGCAAAGAGGCCGTTTTACAAATTTAACTATGACCAACTGGTTACAAAGGGCAACTTTACCATAACGCATACAAATTGAAGAAAGGCCTTTTATGGCTTTGAGTAATTACCATGGGCATGGTTTAGAAAATTGGAAGAGCTGAGTAGGCTATGGGATACAGATAAAGCCAAGAAGAACAGAGCAGATTATTAAGCACTCTCCTTCAGGGAAGAAGTAATTGCACTTCTAGTGTATGTGGATGACACATTAGAGACTAGCAATGATGACATAATATAGTCACAACACTGCATAAGGAATTACTGCCTTTTTTGCATGCTTTTAGGTATAGTTTGAGAAGGGACATATGTGGCACAACTAATCTCTCATAACATCAAGTTGCAAAGATAGTTTGTCTCATTTTCTCATTTTCTACATGGAGATAAAATTGAAAGATATAATGAAGGTTAAAAGGAATTTTGCATTTTTTTCCACCGGTTGAAGGAAACTTGCACTAGTGTATCTAGTCTAATAGTTTAGGATGCAAACAACATCCAACAGACACCCAAAAATGCAGTATATGAATGCAAGTTTACAATGGAATGAAAAATAAATAAATAAATAATCAGCAAATGAAGGCCGAAGCAACTGTTGCTATCACAATAACTAGATCTAAGCTCAAAAATCTTAAAGGCATTTCAAATAAAAGGTTAAATATATTAGCATTAAAACACCAATTAACTTTCATAAAAAACACCATTCACCGCACCAAGGCCATGGAAAGGACAAGTACCTAGTAGGGTTCCGAGAAGGAGCCCAAAGGACACATATCACCAGCAGGAGAGCATATGAGAGCAGACACCAGAAGGTTGGAATAATCCAAGCGATTTGCCACAACTCACTCAATGGATCGGTAGCATTGAAATATAGCTGGTTGAACACAGTAAGAATCCATCATTAGCAACACTGACTCACATAAAAATGCATAAACAAAAAATGTTTTGAAACTCTAGCAGAGAGCACATCACTAAAATTGCTCATCCAAGAACAACAAATATTTTTTCCAAGAACTACCTCAAAGCCAATCCATGCAATGGACAGTAGCACAGACACCGCAAGTGTGTTTGTAAACTTTCGGTAGAGCTCCAGTTTAGCCAAGTTTCTCCTTGTCTGCATCCATAAAAAACAACACAATCGAAGAACAGTCAGTGCAAACGTTACTCTTCCTAACCACCAGTCCATATGGACACACAAGTCATGCTTGCTGAACCCATCAGACTGAACTAGGTTAAAAGATATACACAAACAGTCAAAATTCAATCCAAGGCAGCACTTACTCCATTACCATCATAAACTAAATCAATAACAACAAAACACTAGAAAATCCAAGGTTCTGGAATTGCCTGAAGTTTTTCCAAGGTTTTGGACAACGATGAGAAAATCCATAGAATGAAGCACGAGTCAAGACAAACAACAGGGAGCACCAAAATCAGCTTGGTCTTCCCAGAGAAGTCATTGATGTTTCCCAAATGCTCAACAAGCTCCAGTGCCTCAGAGGCAACAAAATACAGCATCCCAAGAAGCAGCACTCTGTAGGCAATCCTGTTCCCACCGAGCGTGGGGCGAACAACCCCATACCCCATGGAGACAACCAACAGCAGCAGCCGTGACAGTGTCTTCTTCACGGAAGTAAAGGTGACAGCCCAGAGGGTAATACCCATAGGCCTAGTCCCAGTGGAGTTAAAATTGACATACTCGAAATACCACACAGCCATCTCACACATTCCAAGCGCAATAACAGCAGTGATATGATAATGCAAGTGAATGATGTCCTTCCAAAACTGAACAAACCTCAAAAACCAGCAAAGACCGAGTAAAAGATAGGCCAGAGACATGAAGCCATAGAGGGTCATGAGAGGGGCCATTTTCCCAGGCAGGTACCCTTTAGGGTTCCGCCACACTGTCCTTCCCTTAATGGTGGTGCCCTTAAGGGAAGGGTCGCAGAACATGAAGTAAAGGTAGTACATCCCGGTGGCGTTGATGTCGAGGATCTGCGTCTCCATCTGGACCTGTTCTTCGGTTCCCTGGAAGAAGGTTTTGATGCGCTTCGGCAATTCGAGGTTGTCGGGGTTCTTCTGGATGATGACTTCTCCGAGGTTGCAGTTCCGCTCCTTCGCCAGCTTCGGATCGCAGCAAATCAAATCGGATTTGAGGTACGAACCTCCGATCCGATTCCGATCCCGAACCTCCAGGACTATGGCCTCCACTAAACCCGTGTTCTGCTGCATTCTCTCGTGCCCGCTCGCGGATTCGCGCGGACGGGTAAACGTCACCGTTTCAAACCTGAATCGAATGGAATGGGTTGAGAAACCACAACTAACCCTAGAAATGAGGGAGTGAGTGAGTGAGGGAATGAGAGGGAACTAGACCTGATGAAGGATTTCGCGAAGAGGGCTTCACTGCCGCCGTGGAAGAAGAAGGCGTCGGAGCGGTGGGTGAAGGGCTCGTTGGAGTAGTCGTGGATGGAGGCATTGATCGGACTTAGTAAGAGTAAGAGTAAGAGAGGAAGCGCGTGAGACTCAAACGCCGTCATCATCGTCCTCTTCAAACAGAAACATACAACACGCGATGTTATGGAATGCGATACCACACACACACACACGATGCAATGGAAATTCCCAAGAAACGAAACGGAACGGAATGGAATTTTTTTCTAGCATAATAATTCCAATAAATTTTATATATTTTTCAACAATTAATATAGTTTAAATAAATATCTTCTCTTAAATTTATAACTTTAATTCTTGAAAATGCATTTGAATAGATTTATTATAAGAGAGAACTATCATTTTGACAATGTGCTAAAATAATTTAATTAGTTTTAAATCGTCCTTGAAAACCAAAAGAAAAAACAAACGTATTAATAAAGGATTTAGTTAAGCTTGAATTTATGTTTTAGAGTAAAATAAATAGTGTATGTATTATTTTAAAATGATTTTCATAATATTACGCATTAAGTTGATAACTATTAGATGTTAATAAATGTTTAAAAGACTATTAGCGAAGATTTTTTTTTTTTTTTATCATACAGTGGCTATATTTTCCTCATAACAAAAGAAGTTATTGCAAGTATATATATTTGGGCTTCATCAAGTGATGAATAAGGCCCAATTACTACACCAATGATGATGAATATAAAGGGTGAAGCAACTACCAAATCAACAAAGGAATAAGAAAAGAAGAAGATGAGCAAAGAGTAAAATCAACAAAAGAGAAAGTTAGGGCAAAGTGTGACATAACTAGTCTTGGCTACATGAATTCACATGCCATGTCCTTCCAAAACAAAGATTGGTGAAAACAACTTATTCATTTAGTTTATGCTCTTTCCTAAACAAGAGAAGAAGACAAAGGGCATGTCAATAGGATTATTTAAATTTTCTTTGGATGAGAAGGCAATCACGAAGAATCTAAAAAGTAAGAACTTAGAAACAAAAAGTCATGAACATTGTGATGTGCTTGTTGAGAGTGGATTGAGAAACACTATTATTTTATGTTTTAGATTGATATCGTTAAAAGGTTGTTGAAACAAATTAAGACAAAGATACAGGATTTATCTTGAAAGGATTCAAAGAATTCAACCAACTTTTTCTTTTTCAGTGTGAACCCTTCTATATCAAAGACAATACTCAGTTTGTTGGAAAATTCCTTGCTTGACCCTTGGTTAGTGGCATTATAGTACCCAGCAGGACCCATCTTGACTCTAATTGTGCAACATTAGTAGGTTTGCTTCTTTTTCTAGAATCTTTAATGCGACTAATTTTAAAAGAACTTTTTTCCAAAGAAAGACTTAATTTAGAAACAAATAGATCATAAAAAAAAAAAAAGTTGGACCAACATTACAAACTGGCTAAAATATGAAAACCAAATGACAGAAAAAGAAAACATCATATTGAAATGTGAACCATTTTTCTAGCAGCCTTGAAATTTTGAAATGGTTGGATGGTGATGGGGTTGTTGGTGCATCGCTTTACACCATCATATTTTCTATCTTTATTATTTCGAAAGGTACCCTCTTTCCACCACTCTTCTTTCTTTCATTTCTTGGGTTTTTTATTATTATTATTTCTGTGTGCCATTTACTATGTTGAGTTGCATTCAACTATATTTGGTGATGGAAATGTGTATGACCATGATGATCTTCTTTTCAAAGTTCTAAAGATCATGCTACTTGTTCACACAGTCATAATTAATTTATTTTATATTTCCTCAAGGGTGCATGTCTAGGATATATAATTAATAATGAAATATATTCAACAATTCTAGAACTTTCTAGATCACATTTTCACCATTAGTTAATTCATTAATGGGGTGTTGTTAGATTCTACGTGATGTTTGAAGGTGTACACGTTTCCGAGGTAACTAGTGACCATTCGTTTCCATTTGTTCTTATCTTCTTCTCATTCCAGCGTGGTCTTAGAGAATGTTTAAAACATACAATAAAAATTTAGTAAAGGAATAAACTATTTTATATTTGTTATTATTATATTATTAAATTATGTTGTATGGTAATAAGTTATTTTTTAACTAATAAAATATAAAATAGATATTTATGATATTGATTTTATTTCTTCAATAAATTTTAAAATATTATTCTCTTATTTTCTTTATAATTTATTATTATTTTTTATTTTATTATAAAAAACTTAATAAATTCTAAAATTTTTAAGTAGATGTTCTAGTTAAATAAATATATTTTTTAATTTAAAATTTAAATAAAATAATTTAAGAACATAAGAAAATTTAAAATAAATAATATATTTTTATTGACACATAAAATATTATAATTTTAGTATAAATATATTTATTAACATGTCAATAAATTTTTATAATTGAATTTGAATAAATCTTTATGATTTGAAAAATTAAGAGAAATAATCTATTGTATATCACAATTTACAACGATTTTATATCTTGCTTTAATATATGTTTGTTTTATTCATTAAAATTTTCTATTAGTAAACACTTTATTATCAGGATATATTGTTTTATTCGTTATAAGTACTTATACATCAAGTATATATATTAAGGGTGTTGAAATAATGTATATATTAAGGGTGTTGAAATAAAATAAAAAAAAACGATCAAAATCATTTTTTTTATTTTTAGATTAAAAAATTTTATAATTAATAAATTCAAATCGATTTTTAATTAAAAATCAACCCAAATTAAATTAAATCAAAATTATAATATATATTCTTGAAATTAAAATATAAAATAATATTTTTTTAATAAACTAATTAGTTTTTTATAATTTAAAAAATATATTATTTTTATTTAATTAATTACTTGTCATGTTTTCATAATATATTTTTTTATTAAATAATTATTTTATTATAATATATATATTTGATAAATTTAAAATAAACAAATCTAAAAAACCACTCAAACCAAACCGATGGCCAACACTCATTCACATTGTTTTTTTTTATTGTTTTTTTATTTTTATCTTCCTTTCATTGTGGATTTGTAGAAGACGGAGGGAATAGTAAAATTCAAAACAGAACTTGGCAAAAAAGATATATTTGAGATTAATTTATACATGTACTAATATGCAAACTCAATCAACAAAGACAAGTTACCAGTCAACAAATGAAGAGTTTGATACTCTAAAGTTTGGAATACAGCATCTTCCGGTGTTACCAGAAGGTCATCCTCAACAATTCAAATGTCTGAGGAACTGTCCCGTTTCAAGGGAACAAAAGGTATTACTTGATGCTCTTCATCGAGCTTGTAGTACAACAACAAAGTTTAATGCTATTAATGCATTAAATTATTACTTTGCAAAAATGTTGCCCGCTGTTTTTAAAAAACCCAAGAAAAAGGCCTACTGCCTTTTTACTGGAGACAAGTGTGGCGTCTACCTATCATATCTCTTTCTGTTGAAGGCGATAGGTAATGACAAACACAACAAATTTCAAGGATTTGATAACCTTGAAGAAGCAGTACAAGCGATGGTCAGCTATGTTGGAGGTGACAACAGCTTGTTGGACCATCCTGAAGTTGGTAATTTCATTTTTGAAAAACCAACAAAACAAAAGAATTTTTCAATTTATGATTCCATTAAACTTAGACAATGCTTGGCTTTTGCCAAGAAAATGGAGCAAAAATTGAAAAACTCCTTTTCTTTTTAGAAAAATGATTTTCAAAAACATATTTCCTGTTTGGAAATAGAAAATAAAAATTTAAAAACCGAAATCTTAGAACTCCGTAAAAAGATGGACTATGATTTCGAAACCATTGATTATGGAAATTTTACAAATAAAATGGCCTATGTTGGGTCATTCAAAAGAAAATTTTTGGGACAACTTCTCGGCCCAATCCAAGAAAAAATCTACGAACAGGTTTTTGTTGCCTTGTTAGTAGAACTTGGAGCACTACAAAACTGGTTATTCCAATTACCAGTAGATTCTACACTCCGCCAATACTTGAGGATAGTCCAATATCAAGATGATTTGGCACCCTCATCTTCTGAGCAGTACAACATCGAAATAAACCCTTATTTGGTGGAATGCGATCCTGCTTGGATCAGTAAACAATTAACTGAAGATTTATTCTTTTCAGGATTCATGAAAAGAATGATTATTTTCAGAAACTCGATGATAGAACCATTTTTCGGTACCAAGATAAATTACTGGATAAATGCGTTATTTCGAAACACATACAGTGAGGAATATTTCATTGAAATATTCTCAACACACCCCTACAGCATAAAAGGGGAATATTGTCCAGCTAAACATCACTTGTTTCTGGATACTGAGTCATTCACTGATATCTGTTTCAATGATAATCTCCAAAAGATTGATCATAATAATCCTCCTTTCACTACAACAAGGTATGATCAATTCCAAGATGAAGATATCCATAAAGAGCTGTTAGCCAAAACCACCACCATCAGTCTTTGGGTGAAATTTGGCAAAGCTGCTCATGTACGGCGGAACTGTACAAATCCCGCCTCCCTATAACCAATGAGTCTTTCTGATAAAGACGACTTTACCCTTGAAGATTTCGAGGAACTCTTAATGGCGTAATCTCTTACGTCATTAACCATTCAAAGACTAATTTGCTCTTGAAGATTTCGAGGAGCTTCTCATGACGTAAGCCCTTACGTCTTAACGGCTGTATCAAAAGACGACAAAGGTTAATGGCAGATAATGATATCTTGCTACCTTGTCACGATTCCTCTTCCGTTACATGTTGTTAGGTCCATTAAGCCTTGCATGTTAATGACGGTAAGATTAAATCAGTCTTTTGATAAAATGTAAAAAAAAAAAAAATTAATTGATGTCACTATTTTTGTCTTTTAGTAATGTCACTATTCTTGTTCTTTAGTAAGGAAAATTTCCTCCGTAGAACCTCACTTGTACATTATTTCTCCATTAAGTTTATAAGACCCATAAGTCATAAAGTGGGTCCCACATGTAAATTACTATTTATTAATTTAATATTTTTATTTTTCTATATAATGCTTCATAAGTCCCTTATGATGGGCAAGAAGCATTCACCTAAGAAGCATTCACCTAAGAAGCATTCCCTTAGGAGCTTCCCTCTCTCCTCTCCTCCTTCTCTCTACTTCTTATGTAAATTTCTATTATCAATAAAAGAAGTTATTCAGTATCTCCCCTCTCCTTCTCCTTCTCCTTCTCCTCCCCTCCAAGTAAGTTTCTTCTGCTCCCCCTTTATGGAGTAGCTTTCTTATAAGGGCGTCCTCGGATACCTTAAGCTTTATTTATTTAAAGATGCGATAATCATTTAAAGGCTTAAATAACTTTTGTACAGCTTTATTTGTGTTCATATAAGCTTATGAGGAGATGTCTAACCGGCTATGCCAGATTCAGTCATCTCATAATCTTATCATGGACTTGTGTGTTTATTTTTCCTGTCTTTACTTTTCTGCATTTAATTTCGTTCATGCGTAAGTTTATGAGGAGATGTCTAACCGGCTATGCCAGATTCAGTCATCTCATAATCTTATGGTGAACACTTTTCTTGATATAACCGACTTTATCTCGGACAGTCTTCATTTTAGCTAGCCCGATTTTGGGTTTTCTGTGAGTTAAATAGGCACGTTAACCGACAGAAGAGATAAAGAGTTATAACATGTTTAAATTTATTTGTTTTCCTGTCTCTTTACTTTCCTCCTTTCCATCCCTCGGGTTTCAGGACAGATTATTTTGGGTTCATTCCCGATTTTCTCTGTTCTGTCTGCCCTCTGTTATCTGAGCAGTGTTTTTCCCTTAGGGGGTTTTCTTGCTTTCTCAACCCTCTCTCTTGGTATCAGAGCAAGAGAGAAAGCTAATGGATGAAAATGGATGAAAATTAATCAAAGATATATTTACTACGATAATGGAGCTAGCTAAACAAAACTGTTGCAATAACATTCAAGAAAAAGCTTGAAGCATCATTTATCTAAGCTATTGACTTTCACACTTTATATTTAACAAACGCTCCTTTCAAATTGATAAGAAAAATTTGCAGACCCCAATTAACCATCAAAATCCAACAAAAGTTTGACATCATCAAGGTCAACAGAATCACACAAAGCAGAAGACATAACATCCCAGTGATCGAGTGGTAGAGTGGCATTATTGTGCCAGGAAGAATGATCTAAAATGGGTTCTGGGGAGATCATGTAATCATAGGAGGAAGATGAGGGGATTGTCTCCTCTTTGGCAACTGATGGTGAGGGATTAAAAGATGATGAGGATGATAAAAAGGGGCACTCTTGCTTGGTTGGAGTAGGGAAGGTGTTGTTGAAGCTTAGCAGTATGGAAGTGTCAAAAGGAGAATGATTGGAATCAAGTATGATTTCAGAGTTTGGCAAGTCATTGCATGTGTGGCGGCCAAAATAGGTGGTCTTATACAAAGGAGGATCCTCTTGAATTCTTTGCTCTTGTTTTGTTGCTTGACAATTCTGATCATACTTGTGAGTGCACCGGTAATAGTTTCTGCATGTAGATATATATGTTCATTAATTAGGACTCAGGCTTACATGAGAACTAATTAAGGAAACTTGGGAGGATGGACTATTAATTAATATATATTTGGCACCTACCTTGAGTATTTGGCTTTGAGGATCTCTTTTTGGCCATACTTTCTCCAGTGGTGGCCATCAACTATTGGAGCTTCAGAAACTTTCTCCCATTCTTGTGTATTTCTTCTGCATATATATACAAGAAATCCAGATTAATCTACACTAACTCTTAACCAAAAACTACCCTTAGTTTTGAATAAGCAAGCACAACCAAGGGGTAAAACACAATTAAAGTAAGAAAAATTCGATGGGGTCCATCAAACAAATGCATATTAAGTAAGAAAAATGACCATTAAGGTCCCCAAGGGACACTTATGTTTTATCTTGCAGATCTAAAAATGTTCAAAGAAGAAATCAATTATATATCATTAAATAGCTAGGAAGAGAGGTATAAGAGATGTGTATGATTACTTTCTCTTGTAGCAGCCTCTTCTGTTCTTGAAACTGGTGAGACTCTGGCAATTTTCTTGGGAGTCCTCAGATTTGGTGGGAGTGAAAAGATTGGAAAGCTCGTAAGAGGGATACTTGTCCAAGAAGAAGAGGGTGTTGGTGAAGGATCTAAGCACGTTCTTGGCAAGACTTTGGACAAATGGGGTGGCTTTTGCAGACTCATCTTTTCCATTAATCAGTAGTCGAAGTTGAGTGGCAAACTCATGACCTCTCACAAGCTCCTCCAATACCTTTCTATTATCCATATCCTTCCTCTTTCCCTTTCTATTTCTCTTTCTCTTTCTCTTACACTATCTTACTCTTTTGGAGCCACCAAGCTCTAGCAGCTACCTTTTCTTTCTCCAAATATTCTTCTTCTTGCCTCTTATACTCATTCATATATATTGGTTGCTTTTGTTTTTGTTTTTGTGGATAGGTTTATATTTATATATGTATATTAGTTGCTTTCACATCTTAAAAACTTGTTTTTGGTCCCCCACTCTACAAGGTACATTACCAGCTGCATGAGGTTTATTGGTCATTTCATATTTTGTTATTATTCAGATCCTTATGAACATAAAATTGTTAAAATGTCCTTTTCTAAAATGACAAGATCTTGTTGGTTAAACATTTTTTAATTCAACTAGATTCATTAAAAAAATTAATTTGAGAATGATACCATACTAAGAAATAAAACTTACGTAAAATAGAATTTTGAAGACTTTATATATATATATATATATATATATATATATATATATATATATATATAGTTTATTATTTCTTTTTTGTTAAATAATATAATTTATTTACAGTTTATTATATTTTATTAAATTAATTACTTTAGTAGATACTAAATATAGAAAAAATATTTTTTGTTAAAAAATATGATTTTAGTTAACTTGTAAATAAATTTAACTAATTAAACCTTATTTAGTATTATTATTTTAAAATAAATTTAAATTTAGACACTAGCTTCATGGGTATCATTGACAACTTTGTTCATGTGTGGAGGAAGACTTTTTTACTTGAATTCACGCATGTGTACATTAAATTTAAGTTGAGAGAGTTTAAAAGTACAAGTAGTATTTCTTTAGTTTATCTAACTAAATTTGTAATTGAGTAAACCTATAAAATATATCTTCTTCTTTTTTTAACTTTAATCCAAAAATAATACTCCCGTCAATGTGAACTCAACAAATATTTGGGTGACATTCAATGTTACTTTTTAATGAAAATTCAGACATGGGAGTGGAAAAAATCACGAGTGTAAAGCGGAGAAAGAAATACATTTATGAAAATAAATAAATAAAAATTTCTCCTTTAATACACATGAAAAGAACTTATTAATTGATTCTCTACAATTTGAAAAGAAAACTACAACTAAAAGAAAATAAAAGGATAAAATTACATTTATACTATTTATAATTACAACAAAAAAACAAATAAAATTATTATATCTCATTTTTATTAAAACATATTTTTCTTTCACGTTTTTTTTTCTTTCTCTTTCATTAACAAATTGTTAATGGTTGGCAGAGAGGTTGTGAATGAAAGAGGTTAGAAATTGGACCAAAAACAGTGAACCGATCTAAAGATTTAAATTTTAAAAATTTGATGATGTTTTAGCAATTAATTAATATGCATAGGTGGTGCATGTGTGTTCCCAATAAACAAACAGCAAAAGACCCACTTGCCCTTCAATAAGATCTAGCGTCTGCTGCCACCAAAATTCTTAACTCACACACAATCGACGGCTTAAGATGTGCCACGTTGTGAAGATTGTGAAGGTGATGTCACTTTGATTGTGTCATGTGATGACGTCAAAAGACGAGAAATATGAGATAAAACACTCGCTACGTTTGTGCCAGAAAAGACGATTCTGCCCTTCCGGGTTGTGTGGATCATTGTTGTCAAGGTTGATTTCAAAATAATTTATTAATCCATCTTTCCTTTCACCGAAACCTTCCTTACAAATTTAACATCAACTTATAAAATAGTCACAATAAAAATATATAACAAATTAAAAAAAATAGATAAATTATAGAACAATAAAAGATTATATTAGAATGGTAAAATACACTTAAAATCCAATGGACCAATCTAAAATATTCAAAAGAATTGATCAGATTATATAAAAAATTTATTATTTAAATTGAATAAAAATTTTTTTGAGATAACTTATTTAAATTATAATTTACATGGTTTAAAGCAAGTTAACTCAGTTAATCTATTTTATATAATAATAATAATAATAATTTTTTAAATAAAAATAAAATAATAGTATTTTATTAAAATATATATATATATATATATAATAAATAATTTTGACAAGAAATTCACTTATTCTAAAAATAAATATTATAATAAAATTTTAATCACCACTTATTTCAAGATTTAATAATTAAAATTTACTATTATTTAAATTAATAAATTATTAATAAAATAAATAATGATAATGAAGAATAATTTTTAATTCTTATTATGAGATTGAATGAATACATTTTTTTCTAATTTATATATTAAATCATATTATCTTAAATAAAACTAATTTTATTAATAAAATTTAAGTTTTAATAATATTTCTTATTTTTATTTAATTTTTTTAATCAATTGGTTTGGTATAGATATGTTAATATATATATATATATATATATATATATATATATATATATATTTAATTTAATTATGCTAAAATTGATCGATTAACTCGTTGACGTAACATAAGGTTAGGTTAAGTTAAAAATTTTAATCCATTTTAAAATATAGATTAGGCTGGACCATCAAAAAATTTTACTTGCCTTGTAGGGCTAGTCTAGGTTGGGTTGGACTTCCCGTTTTGATAACTCTAATTGTTATTATCAAACAAAGTGAACTAAAGACTTCATTCAATGCCTAGTTTTGTAATGAGAGCCATAACTTGAGTGCATAACATCTTTTAGCAAGGTAACCTTAAAGACAGAAGTAGTAGTCTTAACAAAAAAAACAAAATTGTTAAAGGAGGAGGTAGTGACAGAGTATTGAGAGAGAATAATAGTAAAAGGTGTTATCAAAAAGTTGAAAATAATCAACGTGTTGTTACACTCAATGCACACTCATACAACAACAATATATAAATGCAATATTTATAACAAAAAATAAAAAGTTAGTTAGGTCTTACATCTTACCAGAATAAATCATTATTAATTGCAATTGTTGAATTATTATTCAACATAACCCCCTGATTTAGCAATCAATTTTATATTTAAGTATTTCCTCAATTCTTCAAATTTTCGATTATTCAAAGGTTTTGCCATGATGTTAGAAACTACTTCTTAGTGTCACAGTGCTTTAATTTTAGCTTCTTCTTTTTTACTTCATTTATGATAAAATGAAACCTTATTTCAATACATTTGCTTCTTCAATGATAAATTGGATTTTTTGCTAAATTGATAGTCGACTTATTATTGATCTTCAAAGTCATAACCTTCTTAGTTCTTCTAGGAACTTGATTCACCACTCTCGATCCAAAGTGCTTGACAGGTTGTGTATGCAACAAACATATATTCTGCTTCATAAGAAGAAAGTGTCACAACATATTATATAACTTCGAACATCATGAAATCAGTGACTTATCCAACAAGCACGTAACCTGATGTGCTTCTAAAACCAACTTTCTCACTAGCCCAATCTGAATCGAAATAACCGACTAACTCTTCTCCATTCTAATGTGCAACATTAGGTAATAAAATACTATAATTGATTGTTCCTCTTATGTATCTCAAAATTCTCTTGGCTGCTGCAAGGTGAGATACTTTGGGTTTCTCAACGAATTTGCTCAGCAAACCAAACACATTTTGTCTATTGTAACAAATATCTCAGACAACCAACCATCTATCTATAAATCGTAGCATTTACAGGCTTCCTTCCCATCTTCATCTCTATCTAACTTTAAATTTGTCTCGACTGGTGTAATTGTCGTTTTACATTCACTTATTCTGAACTTCTTTAGCATATTTACTTTAGTGAACCAGAATCCCTTTCTTGTTTTCAATAAATTCTATACCTAGAAAATACGACATCCTCCCTAGATCAGTCATCTCAAACTGATATTTCATCCTTCTTTTGAAATCTTCAATCGATGTAATTTTGTTACCAGTTATTAACATATCATCGATGTATAAATATACTATTAACACATCACCACCTTCGATTTTCGAGTAAATTTCATACTCCACTTCACACTTTGAGAATCTTTGTTATCGAAGAAAACCATCAATTTTGATGTTGCAGGCTCTCGGAACCTGCTTCAGACCATATAAAGTCTTCTTCAGTCTAAGTACCCTTTGCTTTTCTCTAATAATCACGAATCCTGGTGGTTATATAACATACACTTGCTTCTCTAATTCACTATTTAAGGATGCAGGTTTAACATCCATTTGATGCATTTCCCATCCTTTAAAACTTGCAAAAGTTATAACAATTCTTATTGCCTCCATCCTAGCTATTGGTGCATAGACTTCTTTGTAATCTAAGTTTTTCTCTCTAAAGAAAACCTTTCATCACAAGTTTGGCTTTATACCTTGCAAGTGTTTCATCTGACCTCAATTTTGTTTTATATACTCATTTCACATCTATTGGTCTTTGATTTCTTTTGTAGATTAATTAATTCCCACATATGATTATTCTAAATTGTAACCAACTTTTCATATAGATGTGGCATATAAAGTAAGATGAACTAGATTATTCTTAAAATTGTTTTCATCAACACACTGATAAATGTAAAACAAGATTTTACAAGCACATTTTTTCGCATCACGAAACATAACACGTTGTGCCTTGGTAGGATTCTCCAGTAGTTCATCTTATCTAGTCAGAACAATATCCAAGACTCTTGGAACCCAAAGATAGTTTTCATCTTCACGCACCAACTATCATAACTATTCAAATTTTTGTATCTACCACTACATATTGCCTTGTAACCTAGTTCTTGCCCATTGCCATTAATTTTTTCCTAGATCTTGAAACACTTAATACCCCTGTTAGAGGAAAAAGCTCTTGGACAAAGTATAAAGAAAGAGAAGAATAGTAATGAGAGATGTGTTATCAAAAAGTTAAAGTAGTCATCGTGTTATTACACACAATGCACACTCATACAACAATTGTATATAAATACAATATTTATAACAAAAAATGGAAAGTTAGTTAAACCTAACAAAATCAGTCATTACTAATTTTAATTGTTGAATTATTATCCAAGAGTAATATATTTAACATTTAGAAATCA